TTTTTCCCGAGTTAGCAAAAAATAAATTGGATATTTGCGGTAGAATGCAAATCACATCGGACGAAACGTCAAATGAAAATATAAATCTTCACTAATTTTATTAAAGATATATTTTATATTTAATTATAAAATCATTGTTTCTATAATATTCATAATTGTTTATGTAAAAAATATTGTTTTTATAGGATATTAGTATCTAAAATTTAAAAACACCCAAATAATTTCATCACATGTCCATATTTCATACGAAATTAATCCGTACATTTAGAATATATATCTAAATATTAATATAAGTTAAGACTTTAGAACTTTAAACTTTCAATCAAAATTTGAAAAATTTTAAGGTACATATTTGAGATCGAAAAATTGAAAAATTTAAAATTTTAGATTTCCAAATATTTAAATATCAAAAAGAGTTTTGAACGTATCTCACGGTTGTGAATCCTGCAAACGACAGGCGATTTTATACATTTCCAGTTAGATTTACCTCTTCTGTTTTTGATATGGAACTAGTATTATACTCCGTGTTTGTGTTCTATCTTCGATTGGCATATTCTAATTAACACATATACCTTCACCGATGTTGTAATCATGTACAAATGTAATCTTCTTGTATAAAGCAAAGGCCAACAAGCATTGTGTATGTGTACAATACATCAGTACATGCATCAACGCTATTCATCTATTCATCCCTCAATTTAACCGCGGGGTTCCATGCAAAATACAAATTCTACTTTTTATACGCCGAAGGTAACACGCGTATATTACAAAGGTAGTAATAATAAGATATCAATAAAAAATCTCAGATCTTTCCAAACTCTAATTTGTTTTTACATCTTTATTAACGATTATTGCGTGTGATTTATAATTGGTTGCAGATTAATTAATTTCGATCAGATTGCTGATCAAAAAAACAAGTAATTAAATTGACCAGACGATTTTTCTTTCATTATTTTTACATAAAGAATCGAAAGTTATACGTAACCATTTCCACATAAAACAATCAATTTAAACTTTTATACCTGGAAGCGGCGCAAGTAAGTTTACTGAAACTACAATAATTCCACGATGGTTTGTTTGAATGTATTAAATTCACTATCTAGTGAGAGAAAATATATTCCATTTGCCAGTTCATTAGCAAATGAAATATATTTTCTTTCGTTATGATACACACGGTATCAGATTCCTACGTATTCGAATTTTAATACATAGTCCAATATGAGATATGAAGAAAGTAGATATAAAATTTTGTATCACGTATTACAGCTTTGTATTGTAATTTTTACTAGTAGAAGATAAAATCTTTTCTAGTAGAAATGGTATTTTTATTTGTACGTGTATATCGATATTTTATCTGGCATATTTGGCAAAAATAAGAAAGAATTATTCTCTAAGAAGAATTGATATAAAAAAGCTATTTGTTAAGAAAATTACTCTCACAAACGACGGAGAATGTGATAATGCAGTAGAAATAAAAGTTTTTATATAAAATATTAATTTTTATTTACTTCGTTTAACCAATATATACCGATTCTACCCAGCAATTGAGTAAAAGATATAAATAACCATTCCGAGTTAACTTTTTGGCATTCATACATGACACACGATGTCTGTAATGTCACCTAATAAATTTCACTTGTGTGACATTATGATATATGCGATAGTGACTTGCATATAATTTTCATTACGTTTGTAGAGCATTTGCTACTGTTAACTTTCTCGCACTCAGAACGATCGAGCGCGTGAAACATATTACTGCAGTTCATGTTGAACTTCCATTCTTATTAAAGGTAACGGGCAATTCACGTTTCACCATTGAAGGTGCAACGTAAGTTTTTACTTCCCTTGACAATACTTTGCATCAACAAAGCACATAATTTAAAAACAACAAATGCTACTGCGCTTGAAAAAACAAATGAGAACGGCTTCTCCATCGATCCTATTATGCTAAATACTAAATAACGGCGGATAATATATCATTCTTCTTATGGAATTTATATTAAAATTACGAAAGCTTGATTAACGTGGACAATTAATAATGTGAGATTAAAAAACCAGAAAGATAGACATATAAAGTTCTCTTGGTAAACTTATATAATAATCAAATTTTTCCAGACCATCTGGTGTCTCCGATATCATCTAACAAAATCTCACAAAAACATGAGAATAATAATTTCTGAATATAAAATTTATGTGATCTGGAGATGAGAGTAAAATTTTAATTTAAAACTTTATATTTTTTATGTTAGAATATTCGTCCTTTTTTCCCGAACAAAAGGTATTACAGGAATGACATGAGTCTTACACAAAAGAGAAATTTTTCATAAAAATATAAAGACAATAAATTGCTATATTATTTTAATAAGGTAGCAAACTACCAAATATGATATATGTAAATATGTAAGTGATGC